CTACTTTTCTTGCCTCAATGACAGGAACAGTTGTTGACTAATTTTCAAATTAATAATCAAGGTCCATGTCTCATGCAATGGCAAACGGTACTCAAGTGATTATGGTAAGAAACTGGCTTTTAAAAATGTGGAAAAATGATCTCAACCAAATACCACCGTTGAATATGTGTTTCATTCTCCAAAATATTGAAAATTTTTCTATTTTTGCTGTCCTGATGACATGGATAATAAGAACTGTTTACCTAATTCTTAAATCAGCTAAAAAGCAAGGGATGTGTCTAATTGCAATGACACATGTTACTCAAGTGAGGGTAGTACAACTCTTTTTTATCTAGGAATTTTAAAAAAAATTTCTCACCCAAAGCCCACGGTTGAATTTGACTTGACCTACTTCTGCTGGCCTTACCAACACTTGCGGTCTTTTTTGCAAATGGACACACAGCAGCGGAATAAAAAGGAGGGTCTGGAATAGAACACTAGAGTACTTGAATTAATAAAGCCCATCGCAGTTTCGCGTATCATTACGTCCAGGGGTCGCAATGGCTGGAGGAAAAGAAGGAAAAGAGGGCGGAAATTAAGGGGGCCCGAAAGGACGGCGCCATCATTCATCCTGCCACGTCATGCACAAGAAAGGCAAACGCCGCGGGCATCATTTCATACCCGAGTTGCTGCCATTATTGCCACTCGCAACCCCCCCGAGAAGATGAGGACGAGGATGTTCCCATGCTTTTCCTTCCTTTCCTATCCGAACCCCCCTTCTTTTATTATTATTACAACCATTGGGCACATTTGAGCACATGTATGGTCTCCTGTTTTTTTTTTTTTTTTCTTTGTGTGATTCGGATGAGTCCAGAACATTTTCCGAGTCCTTTTTGGAATGCAAAAAATAAAATGTACCCTGGAGTGCTTTGCCTTATAATTTTTCGCTCTAAATGGAAAAGGGTTGTCCAGAGAGCAACTATTTTGAAGTGATTCATGATCCGTACTTCAAGTGCAGGCTCCAGCTTTGTTTTTTTTCAAGTTTCGCTGTTTGATCAAAAATGGACAATCAAAAATGACCCTCTTTATACAGGTATTATAAGAAGATAGTGTGCATCACAGAGCATAAAAATGCACGAGTAATGCCATCAATTTTTTAAGAATGAAGAAAATCACAAAACAAGGCAATTAAGGCGGAAATATTGAATGTAAAAAGGTGTTCAAACTTTTTTTCCCAGATAATTTTCAATTGATTGATGAGTTCTGTTACATTATACGTTGTACTTCATGTGGGGCATGCCAGTATGTAAGAAAGGATCAATCTCAAATATATTCCTCTTGAAATTGTCCAGGGTATATTTTAATTTTCCAAATTTTTGCACATTATCCTTGAATATATACATGCCCAGGAAAATCATATGCAAATATGTTACATGCTTCAGAAATTTTGTGTGAAATACATGTGCTATTTTGTGGAAAGTCAGCATAACCTTTGCTTGGGATGTGTCCTAAAGGCCCTCATAGTTGATGTAAACTTGTTGCATCTGATTTGGCCATGTTCCCAGAGGATGGGGAGATGACAAAAAAAATGGAATGCATAAGCATTTTAAGACACTGCTCTATGCAATGGTGATCCAAAAAATATTTTCTGTCACTTTTTTGATATCTTCCACAGAATAAAAATTTGATGATTGCTGTATGTGTGGACAGCAAATTAGTATTTCAAGTCAGAGATTGAAGCCCATTAAAATATAAGGAGTAATTTTGACCCTTCTGCAGCGATGGGTTCTTTCCCATTGCAGGACTAAGTCAAGATATTTTGGGTGTGTCCAGGTTGACATTTTGTTGAAGGCCATGAAAGCCAATTCAGGTGGCCTAGGCCCTAGGGAAAAGTTAAACTTTTCTGCTTACCTTCTGTGGAATATAAATGGAAACCCTTCTTCCAGCACTCAAAATGGAAGGGTCAAAGCTGAAAATAATGAAAGGAATTCAGGGATGGAATATTTTTAAAAAACTCAGCCTTGCAGAGGTTTTTTCCCGCTCTAGGCAACATTTTGTGGTTTTTACAAATATGCCAGGCTTTTTCCCAACTTTGCCCTGGATGCATTTTTCTGCATTTTTTAAAGCTTGTCTTAGAGGCACCAAAGTTTTTAGAAGAAGTCTGACTTTACTGCCGAAGCTTTGAAACTCTTGCAAAAGATATACAGTATTTATTTTGGAAGACCGTTTTCTTGAAAAAAACACGAATTGAAATTTCCCCAGAAAGATTTGGTTCGATGCAGAGCGTTCATGGAAAAAAAAAATTGAACGGCCATCAAAAATTGCTAAATTTAGCGAAGGTTGTCCCGGAAAAATATGCAAAAATTTTTAAAATATAATACGTGTAGGCGATGAATTGCAGCAGGCCTCGTTCTCACACCACTCTTCCTTTTGCATTCGCTGCAAAAGGAGGACGGTAGAAATTGCACCCGGGTTCGCCATCATTCCCGTACCCCGCCTCTAAATTTAATCCCACAACTTATGATACTGCGCCCCACAAACTGGGCACTGGCCTGGTCTACAAAAGGGCTGGGTCGATGAAAAACTATTTTTGAATTGTTCCACCAAAAAAAGGGAGGCTTAAATAATCCAGGCATTCGAATTCAACTTGGCAAAATTCCGGAAAAATACTTTACCAAAAGCTGCTGGCAGTGACTCAATTCTTAATTCAGAGTGAATATTCAACAAGGTTTCTGGTAGTTCGACTCTCGTGTCCTGTTAATAAAATGCAGTTTAGCACTTGACCTTGTTTTTCTAGAACACAAACATCCCGGACCTGAAATATAGACGATTACTCAACTTAATTGAAAAAAATCACACGGCATTATGATGCATTACGTATCCCACAAATCACAAGTCATTATTATGCATTGAAAGGGAATCGGTTGACTAACAAAAAAAAATATTTGAATAATTCACGCATTCAAGCATAAATTAGCTCAAACTCCACATGATTCCCAGTACAGTATAACAAGAAAAATGCTAAAATTGACGGTTAATCAATTTACTGTGTATCCATTTTAATAAGAGCAGATCAAGTGTAATTTTGTTTCTTAAAGAGCTTCAACTTTTCAGAATTGATAGTCGCAGGTTTCCTAATTCTCTTTTGAATGCTTTTTTAAAACGTCGTAAAAATGCTTTCCCAGTCTTCTGGAAATAGAAATTTCTGTTCTGACATGCCTTTGTCAAGTGCAGACATGATATTTTCTGCACATGGCATTTCAACAGTAAGCCGGAAGATTTTTCGTAATTTTCAGGGCATCGACTTGAATGTACGTGAGAAATCTGGAGAAATAAAAAAGCGTAGAATTTCGTTCTTCTTGACATCTTTGAATCAACCAAATACATGTTTAGGATCAATCCTGGGATTCTCCATGAATTTTTTTTGTTGGTTTGCAAGCTGTGTTTTTTTTTTTATCCCAGGTCACATATTTTTCCAACAGGTGGTTTTGGACAGTGCTGTTTCGGATGTGTGCCATTTCCCTGTTCCAGACGCATGATTTTATTTTTACATGGATTGTTTTGGTTGCACACTTTTCGTATGAATCTTGTTTTTGAAGATTTCCTGCTCCAAGTTTCTTGCTATTTCCTGCACATGTTATTTCGGGAAGTTCCTGTTTTGGGCTGCGTGTGAAATTATGTTATGAAAAATATGTCTATTTGATTTTTTTCAAACGTCACGGTATAAACACCCAAAACACAATGGATCGTGAATTTCATTACTGTACACGACGAGTTTACAAGATTAATTGCTACCAAGTAATTTTCATGAGATTTTCAGCATTTAATTTGCAATTATCAGATCGATATCTGAAACAATTTTTCTTGCTTCTCTCACATTTAAGAAAATTTTAGTCATAAAAATCACATATTATTTTATTTAAACTAGGAACATGAAGAAATTAAATTCTACTGAGAAAACTTCTTTGCTTCTGTCATTTCTGCACGGCAAATGATTTTATGCATGTTTCTCGAACCATTTAGCAATATTCTTGATAATCGTCTCGAATGACCAGCACAAAATTCAGATCCGAAGAATTGAATTCCCTATTTCAAGAAAGATATCCCAGGATTATTATATTCTGAAATCATAGTGATGAAAATTTGAGAAATTCTGTACATTTTCTTGAAGTTCATTATATCGGGAGTCCGTCCGTAAAGTGTCATAAACTGATATTTTGAGCACATGCTGAAACGGATGTGTTATTTTATGATTTTGCACACGATGTTTTTGGCATTCTGTGTTTTGGGTTCTTACTGCTCTGGAGAGTTCGGTTTTTGACACAAGATCGTGTTATAGAGCCCGCTCTATTATTTACCCGTCGCAAAATTCGCTACTTCCTCTTTTTTTGTGTCATCCGTGTACATGACGATAGGAGACAGAAAGAACAAACAATCCCATGACTACAGAGAACCAACGTGACGTCAGCAATTTTCCTCGCGGGCGGATGACCGACACCGACAGTACTTTTCGCTGAAATACGACGGGATTTTCGGCTACACCCTCAGCTTATTCTTGAGCAATTAAATGTCTCCTATTTTTGGCACACGCGAAAATTTGGTATTGCCCCCGGCATTCCGCGTAATATCATTATCGGCATGCTATCAGCAATCCTTTTTTTTCGGAATATTTCATTCTTTCGTGCTCGAAAGAAAATTGTATATATATTTTTTGCTTTCAACTTCCGAATCAATGTTGGTGGCAAATTTAGGTTGAGCTGTTGCTAAGGAAACTTTCCAGCTTTCAGGATAAATTCCGGAACAAAATATAAGGTCAACCAATAAATTGACCTGGAATATTTCACAAAAACATTCAATGTGCCTTATGTAATGGGGATGTTTGAGTACAAAGACCCAAGATTTCTAGATGGGTGTCAAAATGGGCGAAAATTGTGCTCATCAATTCTTGTCAACACTTTCTTCAGGATAGTATATTTCAGGAACCTGCAAGAAGAGTTAATCGATCATTTCATTGACTGTCGTATAAATGATTGGAAATCGCAGTTCGATATTTTTTTGTTTCTTTTTTTCTCACTCTTTCGAAATTCTTTTATTGAAATTTAGCTCAGCACGGTTTCACATCTTTCGCGAATCTTCCGTCGATCAGCGACATTTTCCCCTTCAAATTTTCAATTCGTGGTTCCGTGCAAAACAAAACAAACAAACAAAAAACAGAAACAGCGAGTCTAAGCCTGAAAACCATGTCGAAGAAATTGACTAGAAAAATTCATCTTTTTCTCATTCGTCCCGAAATCACCCAAACAAATGCTCCCTGAAGTCTTCCAAAAAAGGGAAAAGGCAAAGTTCAACAACAAACTTGACCATAAAGCGTCGAAATGAATGGAAAAATGAATCGTTTGAGCCATTTCCTGTATTTATGTCAAAGGGAGAAGAAAATAAAGTTATTTTCCTCCGCGCTAATTTAATTCGGAATGTCATCTCAAAAACAAAACAGCGATAATTTAAAAAGCTCAACGATAGGGTAACCATTTTCAATTTCTTTTCATGACGAAAGAAAGCCTTTCCTTCAAAACTTTCATCAAATCGTGAAAGACTTTTAAAGCATTTCGTTGTCCGCTCTCTTTCTCTCTCGCTCTTGCAATGATCAGGAAAAAATTTGGATAAAACTTTTGACATTTAAGGCGAAAAATGTGGGACATGTATTGCACTGCCGGTGTAGCAGTTTATAACCTCTCCCTAGTCCGATCCGCATTCATTTTTGAACCCTCACTCAACTCAAATTCCCCAGTGTATTTTTTCCCAATGCAGAATATACTTGAAAAGATGGAGAAATAAATCGGATGTGATGTCTGACAAGATTTACTCTACTCATCATGGGATAAAACTTATCCACCATGTAAGTTCATGATCAGCACATTACTTATACAGTTACAAATTTGTGATTGAAATAGCTACTCATTTCAACTAAAAAGGAGAAATAAGTGAGGGTTCGAATGAGAATGGGAGTTTGATTCGGACGGGGAGAGTGGGAGGCACAGGTGACACCGGCTCATGGATCGGAGAAAATTTCAGGGCAAAAAACCGGGCAATTAAAAAAAGAAAAGCATGATCTCAATGAACAATCCTCGAGTTTGTTCAAATAAGTTTTTGCCAGTGTAAATGGTGGAGGAAGTTTCACAGTCGGGCTTATTCAGGTCTTCGGATCCGCGTTTCAAGCCCGGCCACGGTTTCCTCCAGCCGCGACAGCCGCTGGTTGATTTTCTGGATCTCCACCTTTGCAAAAATAATTCTTTGCATAACGACTTTATTTTTTTCTATATGCAAATAAATGAAGAAAATGCATAAATTTCACGAAGTTCGTGACCAGTCACGACTGGAACATTTTTTTTTTTTTTTACTTCCACTGGTGCTTCGATGAAATATATTGATTTATGTAGCCTCAATATTTATTCCAGAAATATTCTCAAAGTACAGCATACGATAAAATAAAATTCTAATTATATTTCATTAATTGTTTGCCACGCCCCGAAATTGCATGCTTGCGGGTTGAAACGTAATGTCATTGCAATTTACTAGCTTGTTAATTTTGCCAAGATATCATCCAATTTTTTTTTATCCAAGAACTGTTTTTTACTCCAAATTTTTTCATCTGTCTTGAGCTTTCCAAATAACAAAATTCTTGAGTAGATTTAGTTTAAAATAATTTTTTCACACTGATATAAAAAATATGTTTATTTAACACGTTCATATTTTATGAACTTGCAGTCACGCAAGAAGCTGTGCAATATAGTATTTCAAGTTATCTAACAATTTATAACAGAAAATTCCCAGAACAGTCAAGCTTCCTCCGGAGAAATAATTTTCAAAAAGTCGCACATTTTGACTTCTAATGTTCCTCACAAATTAGATATTCGTGCTGAGAAGGTTGAACTATTACAATAATGAATGCTTCAAGGAACTTTTAAAATCAATTTCGGAGAATTTAAACTTCGACACTCAGGGTACCCCCGAAAAGTTTCACCCAAATGACTTTAAAACTTTATTAAATCACTTACGGGACTTCCTTTAAATTCGACTGCATTAGTTTTATGCATTTAATTATATTTTTTAAATTGAAAAATTCTGAAAAGAGAAGACTGCTGGGAAACTGACCTTGATGTCGACCCGGAAGTCCATGATGGCGACCAGGATTTGTCGCTGAGACTCGACGACCTGAGCTGGCGGCGGGAATACTGGCTCCACAATGACCTGTTTGGCGTCAACGACTGCAGCGGCGACACGGTCGTCCGAAGGCGCCGCTGACGTCGCCGCCGCCGCCACCGCCGCGGGTTCCTCGGGGATCTTGTTCTCCTCGGCGGACTTTTTGATGGCGGCTGCGAGGCCCGCGGGTTTAGGCGGCACCGCCGGGCCGCCGGACGCCGCTGACGACGGCGCCGGTGTCGGCGGAGAAGCCGCCTCGCCATTGCCCATGAATGCTGCCCACCGGCCCTTGGGCAGACCCCGTTTCAAGGCCGGCTGATGGAATTGAGAAGAAAGAATTTGAGCTGAACGGTGCCTTATTTTTTTTTGCACATCTTCTCAAAGAACAAATGAAAGTATTCTTCACTCCGCAATCAACAATTCGATTTTGACGACTCTGACAAAAGATTCTTTCTGCTGTGTGGCCTGAAAATTGCAGGAGTGGTTTTTTCATTTCTTTCGCTTGAATGAATATTGTATAATACAAGTGCACATTACTGGAGAAAATGAGAATAAAAAAAAACAGAATTTTGCAGAGAAGTTTCTGTCACCTGTTGATCCAACATCTTTCCAAGAACAAATAAATACTGAACAAAATCCCAAAATCTCAGATCAATTTTGTCGACGACTCTGACAAGGAATTATTTCTGTTGAGTTGCCTCACTATGGCTGCAGTGTTTTTTTTCTTTCGATTGAATAGATATTTTACAGAAAGCTTTACTGAAGGAAATTAGGCTTTCAAAACACAACTTTGCAGATGAATTTTCTTACGCGTTGACGCTTTATCTTTCCAAGAAAAAATACCGGATTTTAGCTGGCCTATCTTGGTTCCTAAATATATTTACAAGCACTCAATTGTCAGCTTTTTTTGGGAATATTAAATATACTAGAAGTTCACTATTTCAGAATGTGCACTATATTCTGCCATTTTCTCTATATTCTTCTAATAGAGGAATACAAGATTTTTTTCGAAATTCGCAGATCGAATGTAACACCTCTGACAAGAGATCATTTCTGCTGAGTTGACTAACATTTGTTGCAGTTTTATCTCCATTGAAAAAATATTGCACACATTACGGTGGGATATGAGGCTTTCAAAACACAATAATCCAGATAATTTTTTCTCCCCTCTTGATACAATTTCTACCTCTACAAAATTATGCTTATACAGAACTGGCCAATTTAGATTCTTCAGCATTGACAAGAAATTAATGGCCAGCAGTTCTTAAAAATCATGCAGCTGCTGTAGAACGCTATTCCCATAATTTTTTCTTTCTTTTCCATTGGAGTCCTTGAATTCGAAGGATTGAAAAGTTTTATACAAATATTTAATACACGCACTATACAGTACATGTCTTTAGAGTAAATTTTTCCATCAAAGGATAAATAATGAGAATGGCGAAATAATATGGTATAATATGCAGTAAAATCTCGTTAACATGAATTACAATGCTTACGACGATTTTTTTTGGAGATCCCAGTCCAATAGTCACAATGTTATTTTAAATTCGCTTCAACGGCTTTTCTTTCAGAATGCAAAACTTTTTAGTGACCCAGAATCGATTCATGAAGACTCACAATCGCTTCGTTTAAAGTTTAAACGATATGATTCTACTGTATCTGGAGCCAAAAAAAAGGACTCACTGTAGAAACAACACTTTGGTCCCCGGCACTGGCACTGGCAGCCGCCGTGACGGACGACGCCGACGGGGACGCCAAAACGGACTTGGTCGGCGTTTGGTCCGCCGTTCCGGTGTCCCCGCCGATAAGGCCGCCGTCCATTGGGCCCTCGATGGCCGCCCTTTCCGAGATGAGCGAGTGCCCGAGCTCGGGGTCGTCGCTCCGCACGGACGCCGCGGACGCCGTGCCGCCACGCTTGAACTTGGAGAACAACTTCCGGACTAGGTGTTCTTGAGACATTTCCTCGTGCGGGTGGTTCCGGTCCCGCTCCGCCAACTCCTTCTCTCGACGAACGTCGCAAACCTTTTTTTGATTATATTTTTTTGCAAAAAGCAAAGTATTCGTATACTTTTTATTATGAAGAAAATTACAGTCGAACTTCTCTATAATAAGCATAGAACCCCAATAAAGGGACCAGCCACAAAAACTCGAATTGGACAGTCATTCCCAACTCTCTCAAGTTATAGGCAGAGCAGTTTTTTCTTCGCAAAAAAAATAGTTTAAAATTATTGAAGGAAAGATCGGTTCGGAATTTTTTTTCATTTTGGGCCTCGAGCTTCTGGATAAATAAGATTACAGTGTGCTGAAATCTTGAAAACACGGTTAAAATTGCCCAATTACTCACTTCTTTCTCTTTGAAGAAGGAATCTAGTTAAATTTTTATTGGTTTTCGATTCCCTTTGTCCCCAAATTATTAGTACAAAGGCATAAATAGGGTATTTTTTGCTTCGGGATGCTTTGATTTATCAAGGTTCAGCTGAATATTTTTCAATCAACAGAAGTCCCAGTATTTTCTCAAAAACAAAAGACCGCAATTTTACTCGAAAAATGAACGTCGAAAACATCGAAAAATTCATTTTGGCGAAGGGATTCATTATTTTTTGCAACAGCTGATGATTTCGAATGGGAAAAAACTCTGGAAAAAAAACTCTAATTTGGATTAAATTTATCATCTCGAGGGACTTTGAAGATCATCTACAATTTTACATGGATGGTGAACAGAGCTGGTGACTAACTGAATTATATACTAAAATGAATTGAAAACTGTAGAAAAAAATCTTCAAGAATAACGCACGTCATTCAAAAATTAAAAAGGCTTCTTCTATCTCGAGAATGTGTGTCACCCAAAACATTAACTAAATTTGTTTGTGGGTACGAATGCAAAAGTCTTCGGTATCAGAATGCAGTACTCCGCCAGAAGTTCTACGAAAATCACCCGAATAACTGAATTTCATTTTAGGAAAATACGAAAAGTCCTTTGTTTTTATCAACAGAAAACTGACACATTTTATGACTTTCACCAGAGGCAAGATAAACAGTGCATAAAAAGGAACGGAATTTTATTCGGGCAATAAAAACGGCAGAATCGCTGTTTCCATCGTAAGAATAATGGCAAAATCTGTGAGAGAACTGGACTATCATAGATAAAATATTTCGAAAATGAATTTTTAAAAACGGGGGCAACGAGGTTTAAAAATAAATGAAAAATATGTTTCACCTTTCGGAAGATGAGCCGGTGTCGCAGGTTGTAAGTTAGCACCAGGTTTCGTGCGAACGAATTTGCAAATGCGTGGTAGAAGTCTAGCACTTCCATGAGCTTGTCACGCTGCAATAAAAAAAAATTAATTATCAAAATCTGACATGAAATATAAAATTTAGAAGAACAGAGGATCATCCCACATGTCAGCGAGTGATCTTTAATTTGTATAATTTTGAAACCCACATTTTAGTGTGCCTCGCCTCAATCTTCTCACTCGCGCTTGAAAAAATGAGTAACTTTTCTCGATTTTTATAATATTGGAAATTCCAAAATTATGAAAAATACAGGACCGTGGATCTTTCGTATGGGTACTGACAGTTTCGATTAGAATCACTAAATTTGATCATACTCAAAAAAATTTCTGTACTCTGGTGTTTTGAGGATGCAGAAAAACATCGAAGTTCACGCATCAGAATAATCCCAACTTCTGTTGTTTTCTTGCTATTTATACTCATTCCGATGAAGCGGAAAAATCTGAACTTTGTCCAAGTTATTATCCGAAAGAATTGTTGGCACATTGATGCCGCACTGGAAAAGAATATTTTGGCAAATGGTGACGCTCAATTATAAGTTTAGGTTTGGAGGAAGAATGAATCACATTTTGGCAGGTCCTGAGCATGCATCTGCGTAATTGGCAAGCATTTACTATTCGCTAGTTTATTATTTTCTCGGCGACTTTCTTCCGCGTAATTATTTGCACAAAAAGGTTAAGCACTGCCAAGTGAACCTCTCATTTCAAGAGAAAGGCGCCTTTGTTCATTCGCACAAAAAAATAATGTTCATTTCTGGCAAAAGTGCAAAATTAGACAGGCTTCACTCAACATATACTGTTTCTCACTCCAGTCCTACCAGTCCTACTTAATTCAAATTTCTTCATTTACGTTGGTCGTGAGCTTGCAACGAAGCCAACTACAGTATATGATGGACGATTGAATAAAAAAATATATTCTCGATAGTTTTCTCGCAAAAAAAAATCGTGCATAAATTCACAGGTGTTCGAAACGAAATTTTAAGATCGATTTTTTGTGCTTCGAGTGTTTTTCTTATCTTTACTCACACTTGCGAAACTTCGAAAATTAAAGTTTTGTTCGGAATATCAGTTATTCAAGTGCTCCCAAGCTTCTCAATTTTTTTTTCAAGATTCGAAAACATAAATTTTGCAGCTTCATCATGAAGTACATTATACGACAAACTACGAAGAGGAGGTTGGGCAAAAACAGTTAAAAATGAAGTTTAAAACGGTAATATCTCCAAGACCCCGATGTTTTGAATGATTATACAGTACTTTGCAAAAACAAACATGAGAGCCATCTATCTATCGACCATGAAAATTTGGTTTTGTTATTGACTCTCTGTATATCGTAACCAGAATTCCTCGAATTCATCCTGATTAAAAAAAAAAAACATGCGAGCCATCTATCGAACATCAAAATGTGTTCTTTTTCCATCGATCCTCTGTATATTGTTCAAAAAAATTCATCAAGTTCATCCAGCTAAAAAAAAAACATGCGAGCCATCTTTCGGACTAATTTAAGAAGTGTTTTTTTTTCATCGATCCTCTGTATATCGTTCAAAAAAGTCCTCAAGTTCATCCAGCTAAAAAAAATTATGCGAGCCATCTGTCAAAGATTGAATTTATTTTTTTTTATATTCATCCTCTCTGTACATCTTAACAAAAATTCCTCGAGTTCATCGTTGCAACGAAAGAATTTGAAAAAAAAAACATTCATCAGAAAATAGAACGAAAAAATGTTGTTCACCTTGATGAGATGAAGATCACAGTAGGTAAGGGCGCGGACATTGCAGGACGACTGGCCAATGGACTGGTCCTTCCAGGCCTCGTCGCCAAACACGTCACCCTTGGACAAAATGGCGACCACCTCGTCGTCTTGCGTCACTTCCAAAGAGCCGGACACGACGAAGCACAGAGACTCTATTGATTCGCCCACGTGGAACAGGAGATCCCCGGGGGCCGAGTGCGACATTTGGAAATGCACAGCCATCGCTCTCAGGCACCCGTCTGACGCCAGTCTGAAACCCATTCCGAAGCCCCAACCCAGCACGTGATGAACACGAAATCCAACTTCTTTTTTTTTTTTTATCGCAAAGTGAAAACAACAACAACAACACTTGGAGAAAACTAATCACTGTTGAGAGGTTTCCCCGGAAGCGAACAAAGAGCAATTAACGGAATGGAAGTACCGGTTTTAATCGAGTCTCGGGGGAGTTTTTCCCTGAGAAATCTGTTTGTCCAACTTAAACTCAGGAAAGAAAATTTCAAGGGATAAGTTATTCAAGAAAGTTCTTATCTTCTTCTTCTCCTGACGCATTAATTCGAAAACTTGATGCATTTTCATCAAGCTCTGTCAGCAGATAAAATTAGCACTCCTTGATATCAAGATTTGATGAGGAATCTCTTTCTATGCGATTAAATTTTCGTTGAAACAATTTCCCGAGAAGGACTCCGTTTCGATTTTCATCTACGCATAATAAGCAGATAATTTACATTCCTTCGTGCAATAAAAATTATTTGCTGTTCCCTGATGCAAATAATTCTAGAGAAAAACTACAGTGCATGAGATTTTCGCTTTTTTTCAGTTCACAATATAACCTGAATTGAGAATTTATCGTTTCGGAAACGAGAAACTGTGGTGTTTTCTTTTTTGCAGGGAGGCTGTAAGTTTCTCTTTACTTTGAAACTTGAAGATATACCTTTTACATTAGGAAAATTTCCGAAAATTTCCCGGAGGTTGAATAAATAAAATTCATCCTGACGCAAAGCACGAAGCAAGAGCGTGTTTAAGTATAGGAGAATTCTTTTTCTTTTTCTCCATCTTTTCCTGGGAATAAAACATGATGGAATTATCCAAAGGTGAATTTTCTCGAGTACGGTACTCCGAATTTCACCACGCCAGAGAAAAACGCGAGCATGGTTCCACTAAAAGGAAGAAAAGTCTTGCTCATATAATACTGACGTACGTATGCGAGCTCCCACAGTGCAGATTTGCATATTCAGTAAATAAGAATACGTACGAGTGGAATACCAACAACATCAACAGCAAAAAAAAAAGGTGATCCTCTCTGAAACAAGGAGCTGGGTTCCTTGGGAGGAAAAATAGGTGGGTTGCGTGACAGATACAGTTTGGATAATATCATCAGTCTGAGGGCAGAGAATACCGCACCCAGGGGCTTCTTGGGGTTCTATTTTCTCTCATCCCGCTTCAAATCCATTTTCCTTCAAAGCTTTATCACCGCTCATATTTTTTGGATGTTCCCTTCTGAAATTTTGCATTTATTTATAGTTTAGAAAATTGCCCAAGCTTCATTTATAGGCATTTTGATCTCAGTACTGCATCTTGAGGCTCCAGAAAATAAAAATTGAGAGAAAAGAAAATTGGGGGAAATGATCAACTCCGCGTTGGTTAAGCAAGCTCCAGGAAATATTTAGTTCAAATGAATGAACAGAAAAAGGTTTGTTTTCTGCTTTTCAGCATTCACAAGGTTCAATCAACATTTCCACATCCAAACCCCCTCCCCGCCCATCCCCAATCCATTCAATCATTTCAGAATGGGAAACAGAGAAATAAGTTGTATATGGATACCAAAATAAAATAAAATACGTTCCAGAATGTAAAACTTCACAACTGATGTGTATGCGTACACCCCCTTCTTTCCCTGGCATTGAAAACAAAATATCAGTAACAAGAATTGCAGCATAAGCCAAAATTATAGCAATTGCAGCAGTTACTGAACCCAATTTAAATCACAAGGTCTTCAGCCTGTTCCCAGATAAGGTTAATTTGAAATTTTTAGTTCATTGCCAGCAAGGATTAAAACTATCATCTTCTTTGATCATTTTTAAAAATTGTCTTTGTTAACTTTGTGCATCACAGGTAGTTGGGTGGAACTTAAATTCGATCATGGATGTTCTTTGCTAAAGTTCTAATATTTTCTTGGAAAAATGCATCAAAATATTGTTCTTGCATTTGGGTACTGATTTTAAGGTCCAATCAAGAAAAGGTCTCATCAAGAAACGCATTATACCCGGCGTTTTAATGCTTAAATTTAATTCCCCTGATGAGAAACATGTCCCAAGAGCAATTTCGTTGATGCCTTCATGTTTCCTCGCCGTCTATAAAAGCAAAACAAGTCGGTGTCGTTTAATAAAACTGATTACTGTGTGTGTTGAAGGAAAAAAAAGGCAACGCATTCGAAGTCTTGAAATGTTTCCGAATTTCAAATCATTGATGGATTCAATAAGTCGTGGAAGCTTCAGCCTCGTCTTGTAGCATTCTTCAGATATTTCATATTATGATTCAGTGAATAATCTTCCGAGAGGGACTTTTGAAATGATTTCATTCATAAAGAGGTCCATTTGAATTCACTGTAGAGAGGTTTGAATGTATGTAAATTCTGTGTTCTACATTCTGCACATGAATAAGAGAAGGTTCAAAGCCTGTGACTATTATTTAATATGGCCCAAAATCGAATAAATAAAAAATTGAGGTGTTTCCTCACCTAAAGGCAGGATGTTCGTTGAAGACCTTCCGATTGAGGTGTACACAAATGTCCGCCCTCATGTCCTTGGGACAATAACTCAACACCTTTTGTGTGTCAATGCCCTTGGTGGAGGCCCAAGTTGAGACCACGTAGTCCATGACGCGCTCGGAAAGCGCCTTAGGCACTTCGTGCAGTTTCATAAATTCCCGCACATTCGTCAGCATGTCGTGGTAAATGGCAGTGGCTGACGTCATCTGTTGTATGATGGTAGTCACGTGACTGAAGGAGGAAAAGACAAGGAAAAACAACGTTCATTCGTGGAATCTATTTCCAGATGCTTGTCAATAGTTTGTTAGGGAATCATCACATATTTTACGAGTGCAAAATAATAAATCAATTTTTGGAGATAAATCAATTTAAATAAAAAATAAATCAATTTAAATAAGAAATAAATCAATTTAAATAAAAAATCAATCAATTAAAAAAAATCAATTTTAATGAAAGATAGATCAATTTAAATAAAAAATAAATCAATTTGAATAAAAACTAAATCAATGTAAATAAAAAATAAATCAATTTATACATAAAATAAATCAATTTTTGGAAATAAAAATGGAAAACAAAAGTCTCTCCAGGACAACACAGCGATGCAAAATTTTTATTTTTTTTCAAAACCCAAGGCCAAATTTTGTCAGTTCTTTATTTAGCCACATTGCACACAATACAAAAGATGTCGATTGGCTAGAAAGAATGTAACGGATATTCTTCCGACGAAGTCATTGGGATCAAGAAAAACAAACTCTCTGATAAGAAACATTCTTCATGAAGAAGTCCAAATAATGTTCATAAGGCTGTTGGGAAGTGAGGAAAAAACGAATTTGAGATGTAAGCAATTTTTGTTATAATGAGGTTTCATTGTTGTGACAAGATTTCAGCAAAATTCAGAATTTCCGCTGCTTGGGGTTCGTCTCTTCTTTTTTTTGTGGATAGATGCTCGAATGAAAAGGAGATTAATTCATTTTTACTTACCCAAATATTGTAGCTGAGAGAAGAGCACCAATGACCATCATGCAGATGGTGAATATTTTCTCGTTGTCAGTTTCGGCGGCCACGTTGCCAAAACCCACGGAGGTCATACAGGTCATGGTGAAATAAAGCGACGAGATGTACATGGTTTCTCTGCTGGGTCCCTGAACCAGTTCATGCTCCAAAGTGTCATTCCGGAGTTCATATTTGTAAAACCTACAAAAAAGTTAAAAACACTTTTTTTCATTTTTCATAAATATTACTGTTTATCCAAGTTAATAATTTGAAGATGCACTTCTCCATGCATTTCCAACCACTTTGTCAATTTGTACTGTACCTATATACTGTACTGTATAGCCATACCCTCGCTCGAAGTAAATCTTCAGCAATTATTTTTCTAACGAACACTTCTGTGTAACGATATTCAATAAACTAAGATTAGGTGAAGATAAATGATCAGCTGTTTTGTCCAAGATGTGGACAGATCATGTTTTCCCAAAGACTTCAAGAAAACTTATTCCATTAGTTCTCCAGTTTATTAAAAATTAGGAATGCGTCCCCCAGAAAATTGAATACACATTTTTTTCAACTTGAAGTTGCAGAAAATAAAACTGAGCAGAAGAAAACCGCACAGAATCTGATCTTTTGGCATCAAAAGAAGCTCGAGAAATAAATGACAAGGAAAAGTTTTGCTATACAGTGCACAAATGATGAACAAACTTTGAAAAATGAAGCAAACAATTTTTTTGAGCATACAAAAAGGTCGATTTGTTCAAGAGATGTCCCAATTTTGAAAATTATATATTTCCAATGTTCTCTAGATTTTTTGGAAAATTTGTTCATAAATCAAGACACTTTCCAAGTTTGGGAACAGCTTTTTTGAGTTTCAATTGTCCTCAAGTTGAATTGTCCATATGTTAGGGCCTCTCCGCATTGGGTCACGGTTAATCAAGCATTTGCTTCACATTCAAGCATAGGAATGCAGTTTCATCTAGGGCAGGTCAGTGCAATGATGATTCTTCTAATTTGTCATGAAAATCCACTTATTCCTTCTTACTATCAGATGAATGCACAGTTGCATTTTTCCCCCTTTCTTGTCCTTGATGATGCACTGTGCTGAGTCAAGTGCCTTGCCAAGTTATGCTATAGCCCTCAAAATGAGGTCAGATCCTGGTCTGACCACTCTTGCCCAATTCTGGACTGCAAATTCAATAAAGCTATCCACAGGTCTAAGTATACACACTCATTGTTTACTGGTTCCTTGAAGCTGGAGTACACTGTCATTCTATCCTTTCTTGAATGTGAGAATAAATACTCACATCTCTTTATAAGAAACTACTTAAGAGTATTAACTCAATGTAAAGTGGGAATAAGCAATAGAAATCTCCTCATTAAAATAAGTTGTCAGACTTAACTTAACAATAGGATATGACAGTAGAGTATTAAAATATAAAGGCTCAAGAGATGTCTTGAAAATTATGTATTTTCCAAAGATCTAATTGAAGTTTGATAACAATGTACTGTTCCAAATTAAATGCATCAGGTAAAAAGGCAAACAGAAAGTTTTCATTCACTTGCTTGCCTTTATTTCAAGAAAAAGAGAGATTAAAAATCCACTTTCATTTCATTTTTTCACATTAAATTGCGGCAACTTGTATGAGCGGCAGGTTATTTCTGCGGTGAGTTGGGCTTGCGGCGGGTTGTCACAGCGGCAGGAGATGACAGCAGCGAGTCAGTTGTGCGGCAAGTTTGGGTGCGGCAAGCACAGCTGCGGCAAGTACAGGTGAGGTGAGTTGTACCGGAGCCCTATATACTGTACTGTATAGCCATACCCTCGCTCAAAGTAAATCTTCAGCAATTATTTTTCTAACAAACACTTCTGTGTAACAATATTCAATAAACTAAGATTAGGTGAAGATAAATGATCAGCTGTTTTGTCCAAGATGTGGACAGATCATGTTTTCCCAAAGACTTCAAGAAAACTTATTCCATTGGTTCTCAAGTTTATTAAAAATTAGGAATGCGTCCCCCCAGAAGATTGAATACACATTAATTTTCAAATTGAAGTTGCAGAAAATAACTTAGCAGAAGAAAACCGCACAGAATCTGATCTTTTGGAATCAAAAGAAGCTCGAGAAATAAATGACAAGGAAAAGTTTTGCTATACAGTGCACAAATGATGAACAAACTTTGAAAAATGAAGCAAACAATTTTTTTGAGCATACAAAAAGGTCGATTTGTTCAAGAGATGTCCCAATTTTGAAAATTATATATCTCCAATGTTCTCTAGATTTTTTGGAAAATTTGTCTGTAAATCAAGACACTTTCCAAGTTTGGGATCAGCTTTTTTGAGTTTCAAGTGTCCTCAAGTTGAATTGTCCACATGTCAGGGCCCTACTGTATTGGGTCACAGTTAATCAAGAATTTGCTTCATATTCAAGCATAGGAATGCAGTTTCATCTAGGACAGGTCAGTGCAATGATGATTCTTCTAATTTCTCATGAAAATCCAGTTATTCCTTCTTACTACAGTATCAGATGAATGCACAGTTGCATGTTTCCCTCTTTCTTGTCCTTGATGATGCACTGTGCTGAGCCAAGTGCCTTGCCAAGTTATGCTATAGCTCTCAAAATGAGGTCAGATCCTAGCTGGTCTGACCACTCTTGCCCAATTCTGGACTGCTAAGTCAATAAAGCTATCCACCTGTCTACGTATACACACTCATTGCTTACTGGTTCATTGAAGTTGAAGTACACTGTCATTCTATCCTTGTTAAATGTGAGAATAAATACTGTACTTACATTCCTTTATAAGAAACTACTGAGGAGTATTCACTCAATGTAAACTGGGAATAAGTAATAGAAATCTCCTCATTAGAAGAAGTTGTCAGACCTAACTTAACAATAGGACTTGACAATAGGGATTTAGAGTATTAAAATACAGTATAAAGGCTCAAGAAACATCTTGAAAATTTTGTATTTTCCAAAGATCTAATTGAAGTTTGATAACAATGTACTGTTCCAAATTAAATGCATCAGGTAAAAAGGCAAACAGAAAGTTTTCATTCACTTGCTTGCCTTTATTTCAAGAAAAAGAGAGATGGTCACAGACCATATTTAAGAAACCAAAGATTAGGTCAGGATACCTTATTCAGCCACATCTTTATTTGGTCAGGTGTTCAGGTCACTCATTCAAGCGTTTGATCTACTTGTTTGAGTGTGAGGCAGGTTAGCTAAGGTCAGGGGAGTAAAATGAGAATTCTTCAATGCAGTATATATTTGGCGACATACTTGAGGTTTTTAAAAAGACCAAAAGGAGCGTTTTGATTCATTTAGAGAAGAAAGATGATGGGTGAAAGCTGACCTGTGTGTAGTGTTGGCTAATTTCCACGGCCAAGAGTAGGTGAGTCCATTTTCTGCGTCTCCTCGGCCAATGGTGTACCAAATGCATGCCAGCCAATGTGCAACAAGCATGTAGAAGCACAAGAGCAAGATCAACATGGCAGCACCATATTCCAGATATCTAAAAAGGAAGAAAGCAGATCCATTAGATGCAAAATAGGCATTACAAATACTGTATTGTCACATGACATTTTTTTCAGTAATTTTACGAATCAGTCTCTGGGTGACTAACTGACCAATAAATGGATGTTTTTCCAAACATATTGAAGCACAGAACTTTTCCTACGATTTTGAGCTCAATTTTACGTGAAGATTTAAATATCGTTTATTGAATCTTAGAAACAAAGAGCATTATTTGAATTTAATTTCGTAGGAATCGCAATTTTTAATATTTTTGGAGATCAGAAAGACATTTTTAAACCTTTGTGAGAATTTTCTGAGCAAAGCTATCGAACAATTTATGATTCTCGATTCTAGACTGCTTCTGTGATGACTGATGAGTGACTTGATGGCAATTCACGTTGAAATAAAATGACCAATGATTGATTGAAGATATTTCCGCAAACAGTTTCTCGTACAGTATATATTGGCGAAAAATTCTTTTCCGTTAATCATTTTTTTTCAAACTAGCCCAAATTCCAGCGATCGAACTAAAAAATATTTCATGATTCGCTAAAAAAAAAACTGCTTTCTGTAGACAATTCTGTGCTTTATTTGGATTCCACGCAGGGCTTCAAAAATGAGGGGGGACATTTTTCACAATACAGCAAAGATGGACTCTCTCTATATAAAAAAATATTTAAAAAAACGCAAGGGGGCCCAGAAATAAATTCGTTGTACAGAGATTTTCGTTGAAGAGAACCCCTACAACATATGAAGAGAGCTCTATATGGGACCAAAGAAAATTTTCAGAGAAAATCGTTGTAGCGAGAGTTTCCTTGTATATGGATACAATCACAGCATGGAATTTTTATTGAAGTTCCAGGAAGTTAATTAGGAACGGAATTAATTTCTTAAATGCAAAAAAAATCGAAAAACCTATCGAGTTAGCGCTCAAATCAATGGAATCAATTTTTTGAATGCAAAAAAATCGAAGAACTTGTTGAGTTTGCGCACAACTCCATGAAATCAATCTTTTTCATGACAAAAAATCGAAAAATCTCTCGAGTTTGCGCACTTCTATGCATATGAAATCAATTCATTCAATGCGAAAAAATTGACAAACCCGCCGAGTTTGCACACAACTCAATGGAATCAATTTTTTATATGCAACGAAATCGAAAACCTCTCGAGTTTGCACACTTGTGCATGAAATCAATTTATTCAATTCGAGAAAATTGACAAACCTGTCGAGTTTGCGCACAACTCAATAATGAAATCACTTTTTAATGCAGCAAAATTGATTAACCTTTCGAGTTTGCGCACAACTCTATGAAATCAATTTTCGAAATTGTAAAAAAAAAACATTAAAAATAGGACAAACCTGTCGAGTTTGCGCACAACTCAATAATGAAATCACTTTTTAATGCAGCAAAATTGATTAACCTTTCGAGTTCGCGCACAACTCTATCAAATCAATTTCGAAATTGTAAAAAAAAAACATTAAAAATAGGACAAACCTGTCGAGTTTGCGCACAACTCAATAATGAAATCAAATTTTTTAATGCAGCAAAATTGATTAACCTTTCGAGTTCGCGCACAACTCTATGAAATCAATTTTCGAAATTGTAAAAGAAAAAACATTAAAAATAGGACGAACCTGTCGAGTTTGCGCACAACTCTTCCCAGTCGCAGCAGGCGAACCACCTTGAGAGCACTAAACAAGGACCCGATCTCGTCCTCGTCCTGGTCAAAGGCATTGAACACGTCGTAAGGCAAACAGGACAAGAGGTCTATGATGAACCAGGACTTGAGGTAGTTCATCTCATTTTTTTCAGTAATTTTACGAATCAGTCTCTGGGTGACTAACTGACCAATAAATGGATGTTTTTCCAAACATATTGAAGCACAGAACTTTTCCTACGATTTTGAGCTCAATTTTACGTGAAGATTCAAGTACTGTAATGCTTATTGAATCTCAGAAACAAAGAGCATTATTTGAATATAATTTCGTAGGAATTGCAATTTTTGACATTTCTGGAGACCAGAAAGATATTTTTAAACACCAGTGAGAATTTTCTGAGCAAAGCTATCGAACAATTTATGGTTCTCGATTCTAGACTGCTTCTGTGATGAGTGATTTGATGGCAATTCACGTGGAAATAAAATGACCAATGATTGATTGAAGATATTTCCGCAAACAGTTTCTCGTACAGTATATATTGGCGAAAAATTCTTTTCCGTTAATTATTTTTTTTCAAACTAGCCCAAATTCCAGCGATCGAACTAAAAAATATTTCATGATTCGCTAAAAAAAACTGCTTTCTGTAGACAATTCTGTGCTTTATTTGGATTCCACGCAGGGCTTCAAAAATGAGGGGGAACATTTTTCACAATACATCAAAGATGGACTCTCTCTACAAAAAATATAAAAAAAACGCAAGGGGGCCCAGAAATAAATTCGTTGTACAGAGATTTTCGTTGAAGAGAACCCCTACAACATATGAGGAGAGCTGTATATGGGACCAAAAAAAATTTCAGAGAAAATCGTTGTAGCGAGAGTTTCCTTGTACAGTATATGGATACAATCACAGCATGGAACTTTCATTGATTTTCCAGGAAGTTAATTACGAATGAAATTAATTTGTTAAATGCAAAAAAATCGAAAAACCTATCGAGTTAGCGCTCAAATCAATGGAATCAATTTTTTGAATGCAACAAAATCGAAAAACTTGTTGAGTTTGCGCACAACTCCATGAAATCAATTTTTTTCATGACAAAAAATCGAAAAATCTCTCGAGTTTGCGCACTTCTATGCATATGAAATCAATTCATTCGACGCGAAAAAATTGACAAACCCGCCAAGTTTGCACACAACTGAATGGAATCAATTTTTGTACGCAACAAAATCGAAAACCTCTCGAGTTTGCACACTTGTGCATGAAATCAATTTATTCAATTTTATAAAATTGACAAACCTGTCGAGTTTGCGCACAACTCAATGATGAAATCAATTTTTTTAATGCAGCAAAATTGATTAACCTTTCGAGTTTGCGCACAACTCTATGAAATCAATTTTTCGAAATTGTAAAAGAAAAACATTAAAAATAAGCAAACCTGTCGAGTTTGCGCACAACTCAATAATGAAATCAAATTTTTTAATGCAGCAAAATTGATGAACCTTTCGAGTTTGCGCACAACTCTATCAAATCAATTTTCGAAATTGTAAAAGAAAAAACATTAAAAATAGGACGAACCTGTCGAGTTTGCGCACAACTCTTCCCAGTCGCAGCAACGCTTGGTGGAACTCTCGTGATTTGTTCCTGGGCTAGAGCAGGAGCAGGACCAGTTTCCGTAACTTGTGCAGCATTCCGTTTGTCCTGTTCTCCAGATACTACTTGGTCCTGAACTCCATCAAGTAGCTGATGATCCTCGGATCCGACACCACTTCCCCACTGGGTCCCACAAACGTTGTGTGAAAGTTGAGCACGATGTCGATGAAGAAAATGACGTCGACGATGCTGTCGAGGACCAGGAGACTAACGTCCTCTGACGTCTTGTTTTTGAAGGCCACGTTGTAGGGCACCATGATGGCGGTGTAGTAGGTGAGGCAGAGAATGATCCAGTCCCAGATCGTTTTGAAGGCGCAGTAGTGTAGCAGGATATGCGGTGGCGTCTTTGGTGCTTCTTGTCTGGCAACAGAACCCACGCAATATAGGATGAACAGCATTATCTTCAAGAGTTTCATAATTTTGGGTGACATTTTTACAATTTTTTTCAAATGGTAACTCTTGAAAAGATCAGCTAAATTGGATAGCGGGATGCGCATGCCAGGGTTATCTCAGTTGGACGCGACCTCTGATGATACTTGTGGAGTATGTGCAATTGAAAAATAAATAAATAAATAAAATAATCATGACTAGCTCATGATGTGTTGAGGTTCTGAGTTTTTTTTAGATTTTTTAAAATGCTTTCCAATTTACTGCATGATTAAAGTGAAAACTTTCCAGTTATCATCTGAGTTCTTCTATACCATGTCACACAGAGGGATACAAATTTGCTAGGCCAGCTAAAAAACTTGATTTTTTTCTGCTTCAGCCTTTGTTATTTCTGCATTGTAGATAATACCGTATTTACTTGAATACCACGCGCCCTTGAGTAAGGCATGCAGAGGGGTTTTTCAGTTGGAAATTTTGCTAAAATCGTATCCCCAAGTAAGACGCGCATCCCAATTTTTAGTGATCTGAAACCACAACATTTTGAAAAAAAAATTGACTTTAGGCATGAATTGAACAAAAATTTCATCAATTTTCAACTTTTTCAGTACAAAAGCATTTCCTTGTTACATTTGCTCCAAATTTCTTGATTATAATCAAGTATAATGCACACATAACTTCCTAAAACTTCTTGAAAATGTTGTACCCCCTTATAACGCGCACCCCTTTTTTCTGAAATTTGGGAAAAAGGTGTGCATGGTAATCAAGTAAATATGTAGTTCAAATAGCCAAAAAAAGTTCTTCTAACTTGATAAATTGTAGCACCCTCTGACATGTGCTAAGAACTCCAGCTGTTCAGTACAGTCAAACCTCTCCAAGTTAAATTTCAAGAGACTAGCATACAAATTTGCCTTGGATAGGTTTTAAGTTTGTGAGGATTTGAGTTAGGGAAACAAGCTTTTTTTACAGGAAAACATTGAAGAATTGCAGGAAATTGTAAATGTTGATATTCTGGACCTTAAATATTGTTCCTTGGACCAGTTGAAAGGATGCAGAACTTGGGAGATGGGGCTCATTTTACCAATTAGTCTTCCATATCCTTTCAAAATAGATTAGGTTATTTTTATTGCTCTTCTATTCCCTTTGTCAAGAAAATAATAACAAAAGGCCTCAGAATATTCCAGTTTGGTAAGCTTTATAGCAAAATTCTTTTAGGTAAGGATGGTTTTGATCCATTGTTTTCAGGGGATTCAACTAGGGATTGGAAACAAGTTCAACTTAAGGAGGTACTCAAAATATGGAGGTTCAATCTGCAAGTTAGTGAGGTTGAACTGTATATATAAAATGGCAACTTGAAAAGAACATTTACAGTGAACAGCAGGGTGTGTGATACTCTTGACAGGGTCAACTTGTTTTGGAAACTATTAGACGCATAAAGTACCGCAACTCTCGAGTCTTAATAGTCGTCTTAATATAGGTGAAATTATATGTCCACTAGTCAAAATTTAAGTGTTCAACATGTTAACAACTCAGGGTCATACAGAATTTTTCAAATTTGCATACAGTTATTTCACTATTGTCTAACGTGGTTGACTTTTGCTTCATTCAATGATATTTTGAGGGAAATAGTGTTTCAGCCAACTGGACATGGGGATGAAAAAACACGCCCATGAATTGGAGTAATTTCATCATGTGGGTTCCCAATGATGTACAGTATTTCAATCCAGGTTCATTCGCTATACATTTTTAATTATAGGAAAGGGTAACTTCAGAATTTAAATTAAACCTTTTTTTAATCCAACCGAAACTGAAGCTGCTCTCTCTCACGAACAAGGTGCGAGTTTCAGCCTGAAACCTGGGTCGCCTCTTCTTTCATATACTCTACTGTAGAAACGCATCGGATTCCTCTTCAAACAAAGGTTACGATGTCTTATCTTGTCTCGGACTTCTCAATAAAAGACGACGTCTTCGGGGACTTCGTCCGTTAGGCTTAATACTACGGGAAGTTACGTTGAGGCTTCTCGTTCTTTCCTTCAATATCAAAGGGGGGCCTTTTCACATTTCCCTGCAGCGCAAAAGGGTGGGGGGGGGGGGGTTGAGGCGGCTAATTTTCCTGGCGCCCCAGAGGCGCGCCCCGTCAGAACCAGAAACGACCTGGAAGGGGAAAAGCTTTTCCTGAACCCTGGAGGGAACTTTTGTAGCAGGACTACTAACTAGCCATGGGCAAGATTGCTATGAAGCTTATAAACCCTTGTGAGGCAAAGTTGGGAAATTTTTTGCAAAATACTGTGCCTCTGACCTCTGAAATTATTGAAAATTTTATTTTTGAATCAAGGCCAACGTTGGGTAGAAAGTAAAAAACAAATGTAATCCTGCAACAAACTTTGCATTAAAATATTTAAAAGGTGTCATTGGGTGGCATTTTTTCATGCATTCCTGGCATATGATCAACATTAGGGATTTATAAAGCCAAAAGGATGTACTGTTCACCCAGATTTCCCAACTCTGCTGCAAGATGGACAGGGAGCCCAATGCCATCCAAATACTGTAGTTACGTTAACCCTTGCGCAGCAAGGTCAGGATATTCCTGCAAACCTTTGTGCTTATGAGCTCTGAAAATAAACAGTTCTTCTTCTTGAACCAAGGCCAAAGTTGGTGAAAAGTCTAATATTTTCTGATAATCCTGCGGGAAATTTTGCCTAAAAAAAAAAGTATCCTCACTGCGTGGAAATTTCATGAATTACTAGAATACCATTAACAATGGGAATTTAAAAAGTCAATACAATCTATAGGATATTGTATACCCAGATGTTCCCCCAGCAGCTTAGGCCTTCCCAACCTGGGGGCATTTCAGTGACCTTAGGTCAAGCTAAAATGCACCTCCCCCAGGGAAAATCCCAATTCTGCTGCATGATGGACAGGAATCCTATTCTATCCCATGATTTATTTGTATTGTACATCATAAATTCTTGACTAGTAAAATTTTGGCAGATGAATGGTAACTGATGACCTAGTAAAAGATTATCTCTAAAACCATTTAAGTTTGTTTCTTAAATTTTTTGTACGAAGAGTCCACCTGTATTATTTCCTTTTAGTTTTCTGGACTTTTTCAAGAGAAGAACCTGGAATTCATTGTTAACAAAAATTAGATACTGTATTTGCATTTCAAAAGGGTCTTTTTCACTGCTTACTCCAGGCCACAAAATGTCCCAATGTCCAGAATAAGCTTTTTTTTTCTTCCTCTGAGTCTGAACTGTAATAATTTTTCATTTTTTTTACTCTCGTTAACTAACAGTACATGTTTCAAACCCCAATGAAGGATGAAGTTTCGGTTTTGCCCCAGAAAAGTCACGGGTTTTGCGACACTGTCGGGCTCCCTTTTTGTTTCCCCCCGGGTTCCTTCGCCCCGTGATTTTCGCCTCGCGGCAAAAACCGCGCTAACGAATCCCAGGCTGTTGATGACCGGGAATCGCGCAGGAAATGTCCCGGACTGCCTTTGGGGCATAGTATGTGGTGAAAAGAAAAAGAAGGAAACCTCCCTACAGCTCACAAAGCAGGAAGAGGATAAAAAAGAAGTCCAGGGAATGTAAGGGAAGAGGGAACAAAATATTCTGTCCCTTTCCGGGACGCGAGGTTTTTGCTTTCGTCTTGATTAAAACATGGACCCAGTGTTTTCCCCATCTGGGGTTGCGTGATGCGACGCTTTTCGTGAGCCTTAGCAAGTATAGGGGGAAAACCTATTTCTTGTGCCCCCTTTTGTTTCAGGATTGGCTGTGGGGTTTTAATTAAATTGTATATTCCTGAGTGCGACAGGTCTGAGGAAACCCTTTTGGGAAATGTGCTGTCCTATGCAAAAATTGTGTTTTCTATTCCAGCAGTAAACAAACCTGAGCCACGCGAAAAGAGAATTTTAAATATCCCTTCATCTACGTTGGAATTATTTGCAAATGATTACGGGTTTGTGCAAACATTTTCAGATGTCCAGTTGTATTTTGTGGATTGTATTTTCTTTTATTTTTGTTATCAATTTGTGCTCTGTTTCAGGCTCTGAAGTGCTTAAATGTCTTTGAGTGGATTTGGGTGGGGTGGGAAGGGGTTTTGGATGTGGAAATCTTGATTGAACCTTGTGAACACTGAAAAGCGGCAAATAAAGTGTTCTGTTCATTCATTCATTCACATTTTCAGACAAAATGGTATAAAAATTGCAAATTAGAAACATTTGTTACCGCGTGGAACAGGGACAACCCTGAACATTTGGCACAATATCCAGTTCTTCAAGAAAAGCGGTAAGCAGCTTTTTTGAGCTCTTTGCAAATGCTTGAAAACTATTTTTTGAAATTAGCATTTCAAGAAAGGCTTCATTCCTAAAGCTCACATTCATGGACAGTTTGGCAACTGTATTTTCTTGGAACGTTTTTGCTTCAAAGGGATCAAAGCAGGTAGATCTACAATATTTTGTCTTGCTCTTGTAAAATTGATAACATATTAGATTTCGAAATGCAGTAATAGAAGAATTTCATTTAAAAACCAATTTGCAAGTGAATAATGATGGGAAATTTTATGTTTTCACCTTCAGTTCTGTGACCAGCACAAACATTGGAAGAAAATATTTTAAGAAATGAAATTGCCATCTGCTCTTCTGAACAATTCGAAGAGGTTTTATAAAAATTTGTCCCAGTTACACGCACTTCAATTTTACAGGATTGAGGTCAACCACGCAACACGTTTCTGTGAGTGTTATTTCAGGGATGTTTGAGATTTTTGCTTGTTTGAAATTTTCTCTCCAAGTTTATCTTTTGGCAAAAAATTTACTGTGAAATAAAATTATGACATTCACAAGCTCACGACGGAATTAGAATTCCGTGTCCCATGTTTGCACTACAAAAAAGGTTTCAAAGGCGCGACAAGTTTCAAGATTTTACTTTGTTGAATTTGCAAATTCCGAAAATACTGAACAGTGTGCAAGTGATTTTCTGGTTCCGGGTTTTTAAAAATGTATTCTATAAATGTAAAATGTTTTTTCCGGATTTCTTCAGCCCATTTTTCAAGTGAATTCAGGAAATATTTTTTTGTGAAAAAAACCACAGCATTCGACTGTTTCAATAATTTTGAAAATCTAGTGTAAATAACATTGAATCAATGAGCGTTTGAAACTCGCCGGAAAATCTTCCAAATTTTCTAAAGCAATTTATTCTCAAGGTCTTCCGAAAATTTCGGTGATTAAAATCGGCTGAAACTGCGCAACAAGTAGCAAAAGTACGGCATCATTTTTCAAAGTACTGCATAGTACCTGTACATATTTTCTCACATCCAATGCAAACGTTGTCTTCTCTCAACGAAATGATTTCCCCAAATCGAATTCCGCGCGTAAAGAAGAATAATTACTGCAGTTGCTTCATTCGAAGAAATCAGTAATAACGAGGCCTTCGCGTGGGTGTGAAATCGCGAAAATTGGGAAGAAAATCGAATTATGGTTCTTGTTCCACTCGATGATTAATCAAGCACTGCGTGGTTAAAAATGGGCACCAGACTTCCAAGAAGAAAACCCATCTTCATTCCTTCACCAACGCACTTGCTGGAAAAAGGTCTCAAGAAACTTCTTTTTCGTTGCATGAAAAAGACGCTTTTCTCGTACGGCGAAGAAAAAAAAACGTGGAATATCCTGAGCCAGGACAAAAGTTTTAAAGGGAAGAGATTCTGAATAGTAACCCTTTGCCTTTTGTGAAGGAGGTGATCGATTGAGACTTTTTAGGGTAACAATAAATGCTGAAAAGCCTGGTTCAGAAAGACGGGTTCCAAGGTTATCTTCTGAGCACTTTGCAAGCTGAAAGCAAGAAGATTAAATATTTTTCTATGAATCCCAAAAAATTTTGAGAGGCCCCGCTTTTGTCTTCGAAATGAGCTACTTTAATCATGATTGTTGAAATTGGAAAGTTTTATGCGTACAGCATTTTTTTAATTTGCTATTCATTTTTTACTCTTTACGTTCTGGTGAGTTTTTGGGGTTTACTAAATACAAATATTAAAGGAATTCAGAATCATCCCGGAGAATTCTGCAATTAGATTAGAAAAAAAAATGTATTTTTCAATGTATCTCTCGTCTAATTCCCTACTGATCACAATCAGTGACTTCATCTGTTGTGTTTTCAACAAATTCAAATAGATCACTAAATTCTTAAAAAGCATTTTTGTCTAAAAAGAGTATAATTGAGTGTTCTTTTCTGAGCACTCGGCAAAAAAATGGTAATTTTCTTTGCAAAAAAAAAACTGGTAAAATATTCCCAGTAGTTTCCAAATGCTTTGTTGTCCTCAATACACCTCTGATTCGTGGTGATGATATTGATGATCTTGAAGATGATCATTATTTGACTTTCTTCATAGTTACCAGCAACAACATTTTGTTCAATAGCTGTTAAAATTGAGCAAATCATTCTTTTATTCTTTTCTGTTGAAGGATTTCAAGGGTTCATTTTCTGAGCACTCTACAAGTTTAAAACGACATGAAATAGTTCGCAATAATTCCAATTAAGTTCCAAACGCCATTTTCCTCTTTTCAATTCGTATTGGGACATTGGCCATCATGACGATTCAATTTGTAGCTTTCCCTATCTTTATTCAGGACATTTGTTCTATCATCAGCGCTTATTTTTGCGGGGGCATTAGAACTGGGTCAAAGTGCGAATTCAGAGAATACTTGCATTCGCACGTATGAGGGCCTAAACTTGACCTTGGAATTAATCAGACAAGGTGCAAGACTGACAACTTGTTTTCGAACACAGGAAAGCGTTTTAATCCTGTGTTGACAGAGCACAAAACAAACAATCTCAATCTCTCTCTTTCCTGATTCACAGAAACCCTTAAACCCGTTCTTTTCGAGTACACTTCGGAACCAGTATATAGGAATAAAATTGCATTGCGCTTCTATTTGCTCCGAGGCCCTCACGGAAACGAGGTCGTCTAAAATGAATGTCGTTTGCTGCCCTCACACGCACTGTTTCCTTGAAAAATCAGATTTTCAGCAAGGGTACTTGTATGTAGAATTTCTAGCAATCATGTGAGGGAAAAGTACTGAAGCATCACAAAATTCATGCAGCGCTTATTCCTCGAGACACCAGAAAATTTCGTTATAACTACCATTTCTCAGGGTCACGCTTTTTAAAAATAGTTATACACTTGATTTCAGGTAAGGCATATTTCGATGGAAAGAATTTGGATAGTAAATCATTCAAATCTGAAATCATTTATTGCGTTGAGGTAAATTGTACTGTAGGGTACGTTAAAGTAATTATTGCTGTAATTCCGATGTTTTCTCTGTCAGTAACCCTTCTAAAAATTTGACTTTGGGTAAAACTTTGGATGTTGTAAAGAGTGTTTACTTAAGTTCTGTTTCTTTAGTACGTTGTTGTTTTCAACGTTGAATAACTTCCAACGTAAATTTTATATAACTGTACAAGGGATTGTCAACAGGTTTTATTTGTCAGAAAGCTTCTTGACTAAGAATAATTAGGCTTTCTTCAAACAATACTTGAAAAAATTTTCAAAACAGCATATGGAGAAAAATTGTGCTCGTACCATGACCTCCCACTATGAACTACTGTATGACACAGTTGGACATTGCAAACTAAAATATTCCTCCTGAGTCAAAACTCTCCCTACGTCAAATTATTTTTAGTCCCCCCTCCTTTATTGCCCCAAAAAGCATGGGAAAAAAGCTCACTAACTCAAAGACTTTCCTCCTAAAACCATTTTAAGTAAATTTCCACAGGCCTTTGGACTACCATCATGGTGACCCAGGAAAGATATGAGCAATAAATCGTACTAAAACACGAAAGTTTGTCCTCCACTTCCCCTTTTAACGTGTTAACATGTTAAAAGTTGAGTAAGTGACTTCTTTCGGACCTTCTAAAGGTTAAAATCGAAGAACATTACGAAGTAAAAAATAAAGCAAAAACTAATGGTTTCCCTGCGTCAAAAGCTTTACCAAAAAATTGTTGGCTCCTCTGCTGGGTTTGAATGTGCATTAACCCTTGGATGGCAGAGGGTTATTTTTCATTGCAAGTTGGAGTTGCGATTTTTTCAGGGTGTGCTGCATTTCAGTTTGACCCAAGGTCACTGAAATGCTCCCAGGTTGATAAGGCCTAAGTGAGGAAAAATCCGGGAGGCAAATTTTCTATTGTTTTCAGGATTCTCCCATGAAAATCCTTTGCCAGAAATAAAGGAAAAAATGCCACCCAGTGAGGGATTTTTTTTTCATTCAACATTTTCTGCAGGATTTTAATAAAATATCAGACTTTTTCCCAACTTAGGCCTTGGTACAAAAGTAGGATTTTTAAATTTTCAGTGCTCCGTGGCACAAAATTTTTCAAAAATTTCCCAACTTCGCTATGCACAAGAGTTAATGTGTTTCTTTTGAACAGTATTAATGTGTATATGGTTTTGTTCAAAGCATCAATACAGTATATATTTACAGGTGGCACCCTGTAATTCAACCTTAATCAATTACTGGGCTAAGTTCAATTTTTTAAGCAGTCAAATTGCAAGGCAAAATGTCAAATACAATGTTTTCTACATTAGATTTAACACATTTTGTCTCTCTGCAGGTAAAATTGCAGAACAGAGGTTCAATTCCTTGTCAACGTCCCAGCAAACTTGATGATTGAATTGTTGGATAGATGAATTGCAGGATGTCAAATTGCAAGATAACACGTGTATACAAGCACATAAGGATCATCAACTGACCTGTATTGTGGCATAACGTCTGCATTGAGGTTCATCACATCCTTGAAAAATCGGTTCTCGAAGTGCTCAAAGACTCTGGTGGACATGGATATTCCCTGGGCATATGTTCCCATAGAAGACTGCTTCATGCTGTCTTTGCCAACAGCATTGCCCATGATGTTTGACCTGTTCCTGGTCACACTCCTGGCGAGTTTGGCAAACTTGCTGAACCCTGCTGGCCGAAAATCTTCTGCTGCGTCTATCGGGTGCTTCAGAGCAGTTATGTCCCTGTTTTAAAATGAAAAGTGGACAATTTTTCATCACACTCTGAGTTTAAAAAGTTTTTAAACAGTTTTTTTTTTCTGTGACTGGGAGAAAGAATTGAGAAGAGAACGGTCCCTCGATTTCGAATTGCCTCATCAATCAAAGTTTTCCCGGTCCCTTTCAATGGAATATCCTCGAAATTCCATGAAAAACTATCATCTTCCGAATTTAACGAAGGAGAAAATTCTGAAAATTTATTTATTTTAAGAAATGTATGCGTACCCAAGCTTTTGAATCAGATTCCTAGAATAGTACTAGTGGAAGTCATTATCTTCATGCAGAGGGAATCTTGCAAAATTTGAAGTCCAAGCGATTAATGTTTGATTTTTTTGCGCTAAAAACCTTTTTATCATTTGATCATTTCAGCAGAGCTGCGTTTTTACTGAGCAAAAGTGAGCATACCTACGCAGAAATTTGTCAAAATCAGCTAACTTTCAACATTGAAGCATGATTTTTAAAATCATAGAATTCAAAACCTTTTTTAAACAAAGTGAAGTACAGTATTTGAAAATTTTGTCCGATCACGTTTTATGCAAGCGCAACCAGGGTTCTCATGGGTTCTCTTCTTTTAGAAAAAGGTATAACGTCACTTCAATTTTTGTCACCGTTTCAATTTATATCCAAAAATGAAAATAAAAATCAGGGAAGACATGAGTATTGACTATTGGACCATAAAACTTGGGTTCGTCTTTGATGATTGGAACTGTCACCCGTGCGGAAATTGGACAACTTTTTTTTTTTAATAATGCTCATAATTCTACCCTCCGTTTTTATCTCTCTTCCATTTCGCAGTATATTTGTATTATATTTCATGATGTGAAATTTCAGGAGCTAACAGTGATCCTTTCTCGCGATTCAGCACAAAAATAATATGAAAATAAATTATTTTCGGAATTATTTGCGCGTACTGTAATTAACAGTTCGCCGATGTTCTGCATGAAGCAAAAATTTTGCCTTACTTCCTATCCACCACAAACAATCGATATTTTTTTTTCTCCGACGAATGCTTCCTTCCTGAAAAATGGGTTTCCAATGATTTTTTCGTAGATTAAATATGTGCGATCTCAGGAGCTGATGATGATTCGTTATCGCAAAATTGTTTCGTCGAAAATATATTATGAAACATCTTTCCCAGAATTATTTGCGCACAATTAACAGCGTGCCGATTTTCTGCGTGAAACAGAATTATTTTCTTAATTCCCCGTAACATCAGTATAGAATCTCGTTACAACCAACATCATTATAACGAATACTCGATTACAACGAAGTCTTTCTCTGGTTCCCTGCCTTCCTGTTGAAAGAGCTCCATCAAAATGAATTTTTTTCTGCCCAACGAAGCTATTTCACTGGTCCAAATGGCTCATTCGCAACCAGATTTTACTGCATTTCCTTTTCCACAACAATCAAACCGGATTTTTTTTTCTTTCCACATAAGCTTCATGTCTGAAAACAAAGGGAGGTTTCCAATCTCACTCAAAGGCGTATAGAAACATACGTAATTAATGAAAAACGAGGGTTTCTACTATTCCACTCCCCCCCTTTCATTTTCTCGCCTCGTCCCAAGAGTTGGGGTTCTTTCTCGAGAAGAAAACAATGGGTTCTGGGGCGAAGAGAAGCATCCAGAGCGTGGATGAGACAATGGCACAACAGGACGTGACAGGCGGCGTGTTTGCAAGGAAGGGGAATGAGAAGCAAGTTCAGCCCCAGTTGGCTGCTGTAGGAAATGTATGAGTACTGAACAAGGAACCAGACGCAGGGGGTTTTTTGGGTTTCGAAGGATTGGGGGGAGACACCGAAAGTGTCCTCATTTTCTTCTGCAGACTTCTCGGGTTACACACGGAATTCCTCAACGAAGAAAGACAAAAAAACAGGTTTTAGATTTTTTGGCGATTTTTTTTTGTGATGCTGGCGTTCCGAGGGATGTGCGAGGTTTAATTTGAAAGTTTCATGAGTATTTTTCTTTCGCTTTTTGGGCGGATCAGGATGAATGCAATTTTCGGGGAGTACTACTTATAAATAATTTTTTGGTCTTCTATTCAATCCTTCAGGCAAACTTGAAAAAAAGAGAGTTGAATTTCGAAAGGTAGTAAAATTCTTTAGTTAACAATGCACATTAATTACGTATGTAAAACCTTTTAGGCGACGAATAAGGAGGCTTAAGAGTTACATGTGTGGCCTAAAAAGTCGCTTAATTTAAGAATAATTTGGTTCGCAAAGATTCTTGTCGGCTTTGAGGGATGTGCGAAAGTGGATTCGAAAGTTGTATCTTTTTTATTTTTGTATGGATCAGGTTGAAAGCAATTTTTAGAGGGTACTAATTTTTACATCCTTTTCCAGGATTTTTTTTTATTCTTCGGACAGAAATGAAAAATAGCGAGTTGAAGAAGCTTTCCATCACTGTAAGAAATCAATTGTTATACTGTACATACATTATGCTTAAATTTCAGCCAGTCCTCAATATAATTTTCAAACTTATGAATTTACGAACGGGGTTTATCAGAGAAGAAAAAGGATTCATAAATTTTTACAAATATTCTTGTTATAATTCTGGCTTTTAGGGAATTCACCAGGTTGATTTGGTTTAAAATTATCATATATATTTTATTTTTCTTATTCGAGTCTTTTTCACAAAAGAGGATGAATGAAATTTTCTGATAGTAATGTTAGATCATATCATGGCCAATTAGTAAAATTCTTGATCATCCATCAGGTAGAGATTTATATTTTCAGATAGAATCTTGGATCATTTAACCTTGAGAAATTTTTGTTCTGAAGGAAAACTGCTGTTCGAGGCCATTTTGAAGAAGAAAAACACTCTTAGAAAAGCTTCTTTGGCTTATAAGGGTCTCTCAAACGAGGCTCAAAACGAAAAGTTTGAAACGATTAGTTGCCAAAGTTGTTTTTGAAAAACCTAAAGCAGCAACTCTAGTTCCTAATTCACGCTGTTGGAATTATTAAGGTTTCTTCCTCATGAATGGATTAGAAATGTTTATAGTCCTTAGTAAAGCCGATGAGTTACAAGTTAGTCTAATTTTAACACGACTATATGTCATATAATCATTTCCGTTAATAGGAAGACTCCTTTGTTTATTGGTAAAATTTGATTTAATCGTGTAAATATCGAATGATGACCACATTCCGACGAAAATTGTTCGTTCAAATATCTTTCATTTTTTTAGGCTGATCGCCATAAAATTTTGATCGGTGAGCAAAAACTAGAAAGGAAAGGGCTCTAATCGAGAAAATAAATTTCTTCGTTCATATCATTTATAGTTTTATACAGTTCATTGCATTTCCTGTGTTTTCCGTTTTGAAGAATTTTGACTGATGATTACCGGTAGTTTCCCTGTGAATTGAAATTAAAATTTTAACAAAAATTTACAAACATATCTTGACAAGAACAAAAACAAAGTATATCCCTAAAATTACACTGGTGCTGTTAGAAATTTTGGAACCAATTAGATAAAATGCCACGTCTCTTTGAGCTAAGAAGAACTGAAATCTCAAACTGTTTCAGTCTCTGAGTTTTTACTTCAAATTCACCTTAAACTTGGCACAAGGCCTGAGGCAATAAATTTAATAATTGAATAATGAATAAAGAAATAATATGTATCAGTTCGAAACAATTGCTTTCATTGTTTCATATCTTTATATTTGGCTTCCTGCTCCTTTTCTCAATTTTTTGGGACACTCGATTGAAAGCCCTGATGCAGAGATAAATGATCTGGGCTATGAAATAAAAAAATAAAACTGCTCTTGAATTTACGTGAGTTTAGCGCGGGTGCATACTTAGCATTAATTGTAGTATCTTGGCAATCTACATAATTTTTGTCATGGTTCCAAGTACTGAAACAAGACGGAACTACACGAATCCCAGCCAGTATTATGAGGTGCAAATGAAAAAAAAAAAATTCACGCGCCGAAGAAGGCAGTTGTACTTATTAAAGTTTCAAGGCAGTTTTGTACTCGTTTAAGACACTAAAAAAGCACTACATGATTTAGAAACAAAATGAAGCAAGGGAAGCCCTTATATGACATTACTGGTTTATTTATAAATATTATAATGCCTTTTTTATGCGCAAAAATTGATCTTGAAGCTTAAACTCCAATCGCATCAGTTTCAAGTCGGGCAGAAATGAAATAAAATGACTATAGAACTTCCTGCCGAATCCCCGATTGAATTCGCCGCAATATACACTGCGTTAGTTGAGGACTCGTATTGAGTGCTGCGTATATATTTTTTTTCTCTTTTTCTCTTATTGTCAAGTACCTGAAAGTACAGAGAAAAAGGACAACGGTCTCCTTTTCGTTTTTGATGGGTGCAATCTGCAGAAGGAGCCATAACGGGGTCCGGTTCTTCTTGTACAACAGGATCTCGAACTGTTCTTGCCGCTGCTTTTCCAGACACTCGTCCAGCTTTCGGGTCGTCTCCTTGTCTGTTAGTTCCCCGTACATGAACCTTTCAGCAAGAAAACATGAAAGAAACATGAGGGACACATTAGTAATTTTTTTGGTCAATATCTGTAGGTTTTTTTCTGATGACAAAGGTTCCGGGGGTCTTTCAAGTGCTCCGCATGAAATTCCCCGGAAAAGATCGCAAGATATAAAATGTGGAAGAAGTTGATCTTTTAAAATGGCCAACGAAAAAATTTTAAAGTTGTTGTGTGCCCATGTCTCAAAGCTTGCAATCTATTCGCGGAACTTTTTTATATTTCTAAGCATAAAACTGACATTACTCATGAATAATATAACGGGACTCCTGCAAATAAATGCAAAATTGAAAACGGATATTTGCGCCAAAAAAAAGAATATTGAGTAACCATCTTTTAAGTTGGTGAAGATTCGAAGACTATAGGAAAATAGGAGAACATTTTATTTCATCGTTAAAAATATAACTGAATGTTTCAAAGTTTAGAATTTGCTAAACTAAATGGAGATGACGCTGTTTGAAGATCGGCAATTTTTTCTGGACAACGTTATAAAAGTGACTTTCTTGATTCTTTGGTTTGAATTTTTCTTGATTTTAAACAAATGATGAATTCCTCGGGATTTTTCCTAGGAAAGCGAATGCAGTATCACCAAATAGATGTGCATACAAATAACCTCACGCCCTGCGAAAATAAATTATTCAGGTCAACTGTCTCATTAGTCAATACAGAGGTAATTACGAACTGTTGTGATGATCATGTTCATAATCAAGGCCTCGAGAATTTTTGAGCAAACAACACGAACGTGTCCTTCAATGTATTGATCTGTTTAATGAATAATTCGGAAGCAGGTACCCAGGGCACAAACAATTAATTGATTGCGTCTGTTTTTTTTCCTCTGAAGAACATAAGAAACAGACACTCTTCAATTTATATAGTATTGATTTGACGTAGGAACGGAATCATAATTTTTCAAATTAAGAGGATGGTTCTTGAAAAATAGAAATATGCATGCAGTATTTTAAATCAACTCCCTTACAATAAAGTTTGCAAGAAACATAGGCATCATAAAGATGTGTGAACGGATTTTTTTTTTAAGTTCGCAGGTTTGTCTCATCGAATCTCAATTCGGCAAATTTTCAAGCAGAAAATGTCCACCAAAACATTTTTTCAACAGAGTAGACAATAATATAGGCAATCTATGTTTGGAGTATTCGAGTCTCCATTGTTGAAATTGACTTCTCAGAAAATCTCGATGTAGCAGTTTTCGGTAGTGTTTCAATTTTTTGTTTATTTTTATTTCAAAATTCCCAAAATAGTCGTGTAACAGGTATTGATCTCTTTTTAGAAGAAAGAATCACCCGCATCGACAGGACTTTTGCAAGACTTCGCCTCGGTTGTACTCGGTGATTTTACAAAAATAGTCTCACTTTAACAAAGTTTTCAGCACAGTGTCTTAATTTTGTTTTTATTTTATTCCTCAAATCTCGAAAATGTCTGTGTAACGAAGTGTTTATTTGTTCATTGGAAGATAGACTTGCCCTCTTCCAACAGGAATTTTTGAATTCAGGAATTTTTCATTGACAGGAATTTTGCATGACTTCAGCTCTGCTTTTGCCAGCAATTTTGCAAAAGGAGTCTCGATTCAAGAAAATTGTTGCCAGTGTCTCAACTTTTTTCTTCAAGTCTCCAAAATGTCCTGGTAACAGTTATTTATTAGTGAATGAATGAACAGAAAGCTTTATTTTCCACTTTTCAGCGTTTAAAAGGTTCAATCAACATTCACACATCCAAACCCCATCCCCACACAAACCAAATCCATTCAAACGCATTCAATCACTTATTATTTATCTTCTTATTTTTTAGAGAGAGGACTCACCCGCATCAACGGGACTTTTGCATGACTTCAGCTCAGCTTTTGCCGCCAATTTTGCCAAAGGAAAATTTAATTGCAATTCAAGAAAATTTTTGTCAGTGTCTCAATTTATTTCTTGAAGTCTCCAAAATGTTCTGGTAACAGTTATTTATGAATGAATGAATTAATAGAAAGCTTTATTTTCCGCTTTTCAGCATTCACAAGGTTCAATCAACATTCCCGCATCCAAACTCCACCCTCACACAACCCAAATCCATTATTCAATCACTTATTATTTATCTTCTTATTTTTGAGAAAGAGGACTCACCCGCATCGACAGGACTTTTGCATGACTTCGCCTCGGTTGTAGCCGGCGATTTTGCAAAAGGAGTCAGAGCAGTAGACGATGGGGAAGTCGACGATCTGGGCGTTGGCCAGCAGGAACGACGAGTCGGGCAGGACGTTTGAGCGCCGGATGATGTTTTCCAGGAAAGTGTTTTGGGGGGCCACCAGGCCCCGGCGCCCAGCAGGCATCACGCCCCGCCCTTGGGACTCAACTCTTCCTCATTGCTATTTTCTTATATTCTTCTTGTTCTTGATTCTCTGTTTTTTTCTCTTTCTTTCTATTTCCTGTCGAAATTTATTTTTCAATGTTTCTTTTTTTTTTTATATTCCGGGCTTTTATATCACAGCCGCCGACAAGACCACGGTTTGGCTTTCATGTCGCACTCTCGCGTCTTCCCACTTCCTCGAATGCGCGGACCTGTCTTTTGTTTTGAAGACAACACATTAAAAAAAATATATAGTTTTATTGCATTTTTCCATGAAATATTCTGACTTTCTTTTGGATGCGGAGGCGCGTGCTGTGGAATTCCAAGCGTAAACAGGGTTCAAATAATTTAAATAAATAGGAAAATTCATAAAGTTTCAGCGCATTCTTGGCACGCGAAAAATAATTTAGGATTATTTTCGCGAAGGTTGACTTGTGTTGCTTAGGTAATTTCTTTTGGAGATTTCGACATTTTCAAATGGATAGGTTGAAAAAAACTGAAATTTTCGTGTCACTGACTTTTAAAATTTCCTTAGCGTCATATAGTCATTTTTTGACAAGCATGCAGCATATTCGTGAACAACTTTGAGGCGAATTTGCGTATTTTTTAAATATTTGATGTGATAACCACAAACATTTTTTTACTATCACGCGTATTCTAAGTCTCATAATTGTTTTTATCTTTCGAATACAACGAATAGCTGTCACAACACCTCAAGTGTCAGTTGCGTCATACTCTCAATATTTCCCGCGAATATTCCAATTATTGATTAATTGGGTCGAAAGTAAAGGATAGAGTATTAAATTTAATAGTATTTTTAATATTACTTTGTGGAAAATTGTCCGCGGATAGACTGAAATTTTCCGGGATTTTCAACTATGACATTTGCATCAGTTCAACAGTAATGAGAAAACCCGAGTGATTATTTTTCACCAACGACGTGTTCAGCTCAACATCATATATCGGCTAAAAATATCGCTGATCTTGAGTTTCAATTGGCCAAATTTCTCTTAGCCTCAGTGGAAAGTTCCCAACAGAGAGAGTTTCGTGGGGATCAATTTTTATTTTTAAAGCGTTACAAACTTTTTCGGAAGCAAAAAATCTAGTGATTTGCTGACTGATGGATGCTTCAGTTGTACGGCTCTCTCATTCTGGAATGCACCAAAAATTCACTTAATTGATGCACTTCGCAAATGCCATTCGGAATATTATCCCGCGAAACGGGTAAGTTTTTCAAAAAATTCATTTTGAAAAGTGGCCGCATAATTCATGCGCTGCTCGCTGGAACGTTCGCCATTTCAAAAATACGCTCGAAGAGGAAGGATATTATTATTTTCTATCTTCGCTGTTTTTCTTGTTACTCAGTATAGAGCATCTGAGCAGGAATTTACTCTATGATAAGATGATGGTGCAGCGAAGCAGGAAGTAAATAATGACTGGAAGAGGAAACAAGCCCAAGAAACAAGCAGCCATCTTTCACGGCCCAATGGCGCAACTCTCGTCATTCCACTGAATAATTTATCGCTTTATTGCCTTTCCAGGCCTCTTGGTACTGAATTGACCCAACAAAGGGTCCTGTAATGCTAAACCCCAGCCCAAGAATAGCTTAGTTTTCTTACGAGGAAAGAAATTACGTTATTATTATTATTTTTCCGTTCCCCTATATTGACATACTGTACTGATGCTACATACAATGAACGCGTCGTACACTGGAACAAAACGCGCGTTTCGCTGGAAAAAAATTGTTTCCTGCAGAAAAACCGCGTGACATAAAATAAACGATAGTTTTATAGTTAGTTTTGATAGTTTTTCAAAAATATTGTCGCACGGTTTTTTTCGAACAGAGCACTTTTAAAAATTTCGCATCGGATTTTGTGCGGTTTACTGCGAACTTTTGTGCGAATATCACAGATGAAATTTTGTTAGAAACTGCGATCAACTGATTCACAACTGTTATGACTTCATTTTCCACTGTAAAAGGTTTTCATTTTCCAGCTGAATTGGTTTATTTATTTTTTCTTTTCAATTGACGCATGAGAAAGAGCCCTAAACAATAAACGCTTTATTACAAAATTCGCGACTCGTTCGGACGAAATTACTTTATTGGAACGAGTGCCACTTCAATTATTACGTTGATTTTATTTTCGAATGTCGGAATGACAAAATTAATAGAGCTATATTAAAAATAGAAATGATGAAGAATGAACGAGGAATAAACAAAACTAATAAATGCTGGAGGAATACCCCGTTTCGTTTATCAAACATTTTTGAAGAACTCGTTAATTTCTTGGATTGATGAATAAAAAATAGTATTTGGTCCGAATTTTTCTTACAAAATTCATGATATCATTTTAGAATCGTGATCAAAAATTGATACCGGGTACCAATAAGGTACACACGAGAGAAAAACCAATTTCGTCAACACTATCAGAAAGAGTCCACGTGAAACAAAGGTGAGAAAATTGCAAAACTTTCGCTGAAAACTCATTACACGCACGAGAGGAAAACTTTCCTGTTTGTTCTTTGTGCAGAAAGTGACCCGGAAAATCGCGCCAATCCTTCGGAACATCGCACTTTTTCTTTCTGCCATTTTGGCACACACAAAAGACCTCCTTTGTGTGCCCTTATTTTTGGCAAACCCCAATTTCTTTCGCTTTTAGCCGGAAAGTTCATAGGGAGTGGCTTTCAACAAAAGCTTGCATCTCTTGTGACAGCAGACAAACGAAGGCTTCTTCCATTCCGCTGAATGACTAAAAAAATATCACCCGGAATTTCCAAAGCAAATGAACACAGCAAAAATATTTCTTCCCGAGGCCGAAATTTAGGATAATAAAAATTACAAAAATCTCAGCAACAGTATTCGGCGCGGCGGTATAGAAATTTTTCTGCACCTCATTAAAAAATATGGATATATTTTGGCACAGGAGTGAAAAGGGCTCCTCGAAAATTGACGGGAGTCAGAACCGGGTAGGAGAAAAAATTGGCAACTGACTCTCTTTTCAAGGCAATTTGCTACAAGTACCTCTGTTCGGACTTACAAGAGCTTTATCTAAAGCTGCGCTACCTTAAAAAAGGGAGAAGTTACAGCCTTTTAAAAGTCCGCATAAAAAGGAAAAAAAATTTCAAAGCTGACTGACAAAAGTGACAGCTTGATTCGAATGCGAGAATGCTTTTTTGCCTGGAATTTCGAAATAATCGTCTGCTGATAAATCAGTCTCGCTTTATGGACCTCATTTCAGGAAATAGTTGACCAGACTCATCAGAAAATTATTTCACTTCCTAATCCGTGCTCTGAAGTACAGTACGAACAAAAATTGAGAGATTTTTGCATATGAATGTAGTTTTAAAAATGTAGAGCACTTCTGGAACGAAGAGTTTTCTTTAAATTTCGGAAATTCTTTCTGGAGTCAAGAAAAGGCAGCAATTTTACCTTTTCTATCGTTCAAAATAGCCATACATTTCGCACAAAAACGAAAATAAAGACTCAAGTCATCTTTCTAAATTGCAATAAATTTTCTCTTCACTTGTTTAATGTCATCATCTGAAACTGCGCAAAGCAAGGATTTTTTCATTGAGAATTTTTGCAAATAAACTCTACTGTACTTCAAACAAATGGCTTTAAACCACAATTCACGGTCTGCCACAAAAAGCCTCTTCTATATTCCACACAAAAACAAGTATCACTTACACATGAGGTCGTAGAAAAGGGGAAACTAATATATTTGGTTGACCTTTGAAGGCGAAAGATCAGCATCAAACACGGATGTGCCCTAAGGAAATCTACAATATTAATAAGCTTGGAAGGAAAATATTTCTATTTCTGAACTGCGAGATAAGTTAATGGCTGCCACGACCCGTCAAAAACATAAACCAATGGCCAAACAAGCTTCCGCAAAGCGGATTGAGTCCTCAGCGAAAATAATAATAATAATAATAAGCCAGAGAATACCGAGGCCAAGAGAAAGAGCAGAAAAGTTGACCTAAAAGTTTTCCGAAGAAAGTTGATTACTTTGGGCATCAGTGGCTCATTGAGATATGAAGCAATAAAAGCTAAGCAATCACATTTCTATTTTATTCTTCAATCAGTTTTTAAAAACATGCCGTAAAATTTTAGAATTCAATTCAGCTAACATATTGTTTCTGGATGGTGTTTTAAGGTCATTTGATAAAGTGATCGTCCCGCGTGATTTCAAAACTTTTTCCGGTAAATGTAAGAACAATTTTTCTGTCGTGATTAAAGAATACAGTATTAATCGAATGTCTAGGGACAACATTTATGCATAGAATTAAAAACAGATTATCGCTTCACATCAGTAATTCAAAATTCTTTAAATTTGATGAGTTTCCTCAGCTTACGTTGTTCAATGGATTATATATCAGAACCTCGTTTTTGTTACCTGAAGAATCTTCCAAAGGTAATCAACTAGTTTCATTTTTTGTCAAGCTTTGAAATACTGAAAGCTTATAGTAACATAAACAGTTGCAGGATAAGATTTATTCCTTACATCTTTTTAACCTCAGCTGTGCTAAAAAAAATGACCCACTTCTTTAAAAATCAGTAAAAAGCATATATATTGCTAAACACCAGTCGTATTTGTAGCAGTTATAAACAGGACTTTTTCCAAGTCTTTCAAAAAGTCTAAGAAGTAATAACACACTTGCTGGTCCTTGGCAATAAATTCGAAATATGATGTAAGGCTACAAGTTGCTTCTGAATAATTCACATACATTTTATTGTTTGAGGTCAAGCCAATTCTATACAGCTTGCAATAGCATAGTTCAAAAAGGCTTATTAGATCACTAGTTCGAAATTTTGTTAAAAGAACCGTTTAATAGTAGGAAATATAGTAAAGTATGACTGACCAAATAAAGCTCTACTTGTTTTATTTGAAAAGAACTTAAGTGTGCTTGATCGAGCAAGGAAATTGTGCAGCAATTGTAACTCCCAATACTTTTAAGGGCACAACAAATAAATTAGTATTCTTCATTTTAGGGGAGTTCGGCGATTACAATTTCAAAAAACCCCACGAATTTCCATTCTACGATGTCTCTAAGATGCTTTCATTCGAGAAATTGGCGGTTTTCTTGGCCTGAATGATGGAATTTTACGCAATTGGAATCTGAGACATGATTTAATCGCCGAATATATCCTTTGTAGGAATTTATCCTTGAATATTTCTATAATTTCCGCAAGAATTCAGAAATTATTTTTACCATGCATGATTAATCAGTTATTAAA